GCCGTATATCAAGAGTAGAACGTATACCTAATTCTGAAATTAGAAGAAAAACAGATAGAGTACATACAACTTCTGAAAGAACAGAAACTAGACAGTTTAATATGGTATGGACACGTACAGAGGATGGACGACAACAGATGGCCAAAAAGAGCGATGGAATACAATCCAAGTAATAGAAGAAAACGAGGAAGACCAGCCAAGTCTTGGATACCAGGTGTTATGGAAACCATGAAAGTGGGATCTTAGACAAGGAAAGAGAGGGGACAGGTAATGCTTATTTAATAAACCTTTGCAAAGTGAGTCCAGTCTAGTTGTGACCGCCATGTTTTGATTCCTGTACATTGTCCATTACTACCTCTCGCAGGGTTACCAGGTATACTGATTTTTCAGTAGATCTACTAATTTCAACTTTAATTTACTGATTTACTTAAACACTATATCGATTTACTACAAAATATATAATGATAAAATCATGTTCAAAAATTAATCATTATATCAGTACGATATTATTGTAAGCCTTAATACTGAGCTTTACACATGTTTACTGCACAAACAAAATGTTATCAGCTATTTCGTGTATCAAAACAAAACCACTGCGTAACTTTTGGCGTAATTTAGTACTACATCCGAGTATATAAGAATAAATGGTGTAATACATGGTATTATTTTAATACTAACAATAATAATGGTGACGATCATACCAAGAGAAACATAAACAAAACAACTAAAAAATGTTTATATAAAGTATTCGATTATATTGTAAGATTATTAATATTGGGAAGTTTAGAAATTTTCACCCTACATAGTTATCATACACATAATGTATCTACTAATCAAAACAAAAACTTTTAAATTGTTTTTCTTCTACCATTCATCGTATATTAAATGCGCAAATTCGATCAATTAATTCCGTTATTAGTAATTGACGCAATAAAAAGTTTGTTCACATTGTCTAGCTAGTAAGGTTAAGAATTTATAAAATATATGAGCATGAATTGAAAAAAAAATAAAAATTACGTAATTTAAAAATTTACCATTTTTGCAGGAAAATTTTTTATCAAATGGTAATATTACAGTCACAAGAATTTTCCTGTAAACAAGCAGAAGAAGATGCTAATGCTGATATAATTAAGATTTCGATAGAAATTGCCAGAGATACAAATAGAACTGTCATTGTTGTGAGTCAAGATATTGATCTTTCGGCCCTTTTGATTCAATTAAATGAAAATAATAATGACATTTATTTTCTTAAACCAGGTTCTGGAACTGTAAAAGATCAATTTTTCACGTCGAATAGTTTCAAATATGAATCTTGCAAAAATATCATTGCATTTCTGTTGCATTGTTTTTCAGGTTGCGATACATCTGAATTTGCCGGTAAAGGAAAGAAAAGTATCGTAAATTCATTATTAGACGCTAAAAATTTGTCAAGTTTGGCTAACATTTTTTATGAAAAAGATGCAAATAAACAAGATATCGCAAGAAATGGATTACAATTAATCAAATCTATTTATAAGTGCAAAGTAATAAGCTAACGCTGAATCAATTACGATTTCAAAAATATCAATTGGCAAAACAGATTAGGACTGGAAACAACATCAACAAGGCAATATGCCCAAATTTACAGAAAAGGAATTGATTTCGGAAATACTGCTCAAAACTATTTGCTGCAGCTGTGAAACTGGATGTAACAATTTAAAATGTGGTTGCCGAAAACATGGTTTGAAATGCACAAACTGATGTTCAAGTTGTCAAGTTGTAATGTGGAGGAAAAAGCCTACGAAGAAATTAATGATAACTAATAATAATAATTAATGATAAGCACTTACAGATTTAGAGTGGAAAGTATTTAAACAAGTTGTTGAGCATAATTTGTTCAAAACAGTACTGACAGTTTTTGTTAAAAGTACCTAGGTCACTAGTAATTAAATGTAAAAATATAAAAACAGAGCAAACAAAAACAACGAAACAATTAAAACACAATAAAATTACACATTAAAAATATACAGGGTGATTTAAAATATAATTGTTAACAGAAAAATTATTTAGACTAAGAATATTACAGTAGATATTGCTCAACTGTCCCGTGTCTGCCTTGTAATTTACTGCATAGTTTTCTCTATTTATATGACACATTTCCAAAAACAATCTTTTTTTGTAATTATTTTCTTGCTTTAAAAAGTTTGACGGTCCCACTGATATCGGAGCAGTACAAACAACACAATAAAAAACTACCATTAATAAAACAGTTAACACCTTCTGTGACTAGTTTATTTAAACAATTTACCAACATGAAAATTGTCCAATATAATTTATTAGAAAACCGACAACTGTTTTCTAAAGTAAAAGACAAGACACCAACTTTAAACAAAACTAATGTTATCTATAAACTGCCTTGTTTGGATTGCCAGAGCTGTTATGTTGACCAAACTTCTCAATGGCTAAAACAAAGGGTCACCCAACACAAAAGTGACTGCACAAAACGGAAGAACACATGTGCGGCAGTTGACCATCACTTAAAAACTGGCCATCAATTTGATTACTCAAATGTCAGGGTTTTACAGCAAGAAAATAATTACAAAAAAAAATTGTTTTTGGAAATGTGTCGTATAAATAGAGAATACTATGCAGTAAATTACAAGGCAGGCACGGGATAGTTGAGCAATATCTACTGTAATATTCTTAGTATGTCTAAATAATTTTTCTGTTAACAATTATATTTTAAATCACCCTGTATATTTTTAATGTGTAATTTTATTGTGTTTTAATTGTTTCGTTGTTTTTGTTTGCTCTGTTTTTATATTTTTACATTTAATTACTAGTGACCTAGGTACTTTTAACAAAAACTGTCAGTACTGTTTTGAACAAATTATGCTCAACAACTTGTTTAAATACTTTCCACTCTAAATCTGTAAGTGAGTCACTTTTTATTTAAACTGATTTTTATATAACTTTTATTCAAATTTTTAGTTGTCTCCTGATGAAGCTGACAAAAATTCAGCGAAATATAGAGGATTAAAAGAGAAAAGAGTTTTTTTTTAATAATAACAGACCGCATACCCGATATTCCAACACAATAAAATTATATATATATATATATATATATATATATATATATATATATATATATATATATATATATATATATCATTGTTGGAACATAGTTGGAAGTGAATCAATGATTTTCTTAGTTCTTTTTCACTAGTTAATATTATATTAAATATTATATGCTTATTAGACCACGTGTTCTGTTGCTTTGCTAATTTTTACTAAGTCTCTAAATGTTGTTAGTTATTTAACTGTTTATACAATATCACCATACGATGTCCATGTATTTGAGTTTTTGTACTACCTTTTTAATACCATTGACAACTACATATCTTTTTTAAGGTAACTATTTAACATCTTCATGAATGTGTGGTACTTATTATGTAAAAATTTTTAGATAAACTGATGATGCTATCAGAATTCGATAGCGAAACGTCTTCAAAATAGATGAAGTAGTATCAACTTTGTCTTTTATTTCTCCACCTAGTTGACCGATAATTGAACCCACCACTCATCTGAGTGATCCTTATTTATATTGGATAAACGGTCGTACTCCTTGTTGCGATATATATATATATATATATATATATATATATATATATATATATATATATATATATTGTAAGATTGCCCATGACAAGAATGTAGGTAATTTAACATTAATAAACCAGCTTTTAAATTGTAAAAAAAATCGTATAGCAGTCACATTTTTTTTTTGATGAAATTCCCTTTAAATCCTATCTTGAATATTTTTAACAGCTATTTTCACATGTCTTTTTGCAATCTTAATGTTTTGTGGATTTATAATTTTTTTGTTTATCAATGTATCATGACATCTAAAGCTACATGACTAATTACAGTATTAATTATAAGAAATATATCAAAATTGTACATAATGATAAAAAAAAACATTTTTTGAAACATTAGCCATAGTAATGTATATATATTTTTTTAAAATGTCAAAAAGTAGAGATTTCAACAAACAAAAAAAAACACCGAATCTTTTAAAACAGCTGATATTTTAACGCGTGAATTTTCGATTGAAACTTAGGATGCTTTTTCGATATTAAATCAATATCAGGTAAAAAAATAAATTTTTCAATTCCAAAAAATTACAGTGTGTTTGGTACACACTAAGGCAAGTTTTCACCAAATTTCGTAAAAAAAATTTTCTTGTAAAAGATAAAAATAAAAACCAAAAACTTAGTTTTTTGAATTTTCCACAAAAGTTTTAAGGTTATGTGAAAAAATAATAGCACTTGTAGTTCCGCCGAAAATAGCGATAAACCGATTTTTACCCTTAAAATCTCACCCCCTCCCACTTCCCGACCTCGGATGGAGCGGAATTTATTTTTTCTTTCATTTTTAGTATATTCTCTTTCTTTTTCAATAGGTTTCATTCTACTATAATTTTTTTGGTTTCAAAAATTATCCCCTGGTCAAGAATTTCGAAACAGAATTATAAAATACTTATACATCGCAAAGGTATTAACGAAAAACCTTATAAATAAAATAAACAATTTTTGAGTAGCCATTTTGGGGGTGTATCGTTAAAATTTACATTTTTATTATAGATCTTGTAAATGTACAAAACGAAAATAAAATTGCTTTTATAGAGACCTGAAATATAACATAACAACCGCATTATTTAAATTGAAAAAAATCACTAATTAATAAACATTTTTTGTTTTAAATAGACTAGACATAGAATAGAATAATAATTTTTTTTGCACAAACTTTGATTTGGAAAAGGTGACAACTTGAAATCTAATACAAACTACTTTACTTGTATTAAATTATTATTTAACTGGGCTATATGGGCTATATAATGCACTAAAAATTATTCTAAATTTTGGTATTATAATAAAAATATTTACATATTTGTTTAACAGAGATATTGATAGCAAAATTGATCACTTCCGTATAAATACAAAAGTTTAAATTGTACATACGTTTTCCTTTCGCATTTTTCTTCCGTCTATGGTGTGTCGTTTTCTTATGCATTTTTGTCAACTTTCACTAAAGAACTACACAATTGTTTTGTTTTATCTATACGCGCAATTTAAAATCCCCGATACGCGAATATTGTCATAATAAGTAGTCAATCGAGTAGATACGAACCGACTGAGACTGAAATATAAACAACGTGAGACAGTTGGTTGCATATTATTGTTGTTAGATACTTTGGTTGTCCTCAATGGCGAAGATAATGTAACGGTAAAATGAGAAAATTGACCGACATGCACGTAAGTGCGGAGAGTGAGTATGTAGTTCAATTAGGTCTACTCGAGAGGATGAATCAATGAGATTTATATGATTTTTAATGAATAATGTATGTAAAACTACAAAAAGAGATAACAATAGAATAAATAGATATCTACAGTTTGTGATTAAACAAATAATATTGAAACTCGTTTGGCATTAGAGTGTATATCGACGTAGCAGAAACTAATTTTATAAAATAGACTAATAGACTAGGCGAAATCTGTAAAAATTTAGACCATAATGGACATTTTCCATAGGAAGCTATTTTTTTGCTGGAATCCCTTCAGGATGGGCCCAATATCGATAATCACGATATGCGCCAGTCGCAAACCCTGTGCTAAATTTTTTATTTGACAAAATCTGAAAACAATTGAAAATTTCTCATTTTTTTTGCTCCTATTTTCGTTATAATTCGGAAAATATTGATCCTAGAGAAAAAATTATAAGAAGTTAAAAGTTTCGCTATTCAATTTACACAATATTTCGTTAGCTAGAAATCGAAAATTTAATGTTTATTGTTGAAAAAATAGCAATAATTGGAAAAAAAGTACAAACAAATAAAGTTAATCCTTTAAATGTTTTCGACTTTCTAAACTTGACTTACAAGCTCCATATTCCGCCTAGAAAAACTTTTTAGTATGTTTAAAACGTGTGCTAAATTTTTTTAAGATCGGTCGGATAGGTTTTGCATAATAATTTTGCAATCCAGTCTACTGGAAAAAAAATCGCAAATTTTCAGATTTATAGTAGGCCCTGAATAAGGCCCTCAGATAGTTGCAATTTTTTTTACATATAAAGGAAGGCTCAAACTTCCAAACGCTTTTTGTAAAATTCAAATCAGTTCACTAGGAGAGCCTAGAAGTTTTTTTAAAGTTACAAACATTTTTTAGGCTTATAAACAAATTAAATAACTTTACGAGCTTTAAATATATCATTTTCGAATCAAAATATATTCTCAAATCAAATAATGTCATTATTACGATAAAACTGCAGAAATTAATTATTTTAAAAAGTTTGATTTTTACAAAAAAAAAAAAATCGTTCGCCTTTGTTTTAACAATTCAAGCTGAAGCATGCCTGCTAATCTTTTCACTTTTGCTGTCATTTTTCTTGCAAAATTTGAGTTGTGCGTTTCTAACCGAGTCTGTTATTAATTTATTGTGATCGCCGATACTTAGAGGTTTGGGATTATTACTCCGTAAAGTTTATATGATTCTGGATGATTTGGTGAATTCCAAACTATGCGTTTGCAACTGTTTATCATCTTTGCTCTTTCTTTTTGTAGATTTATCGTTACTCTAACTCTTACTGGTCTGTGGTCGCTTCCTACTGATAGTTTATTAAGTACAGTAACATCTTGAATAATTTGCTTTTTGTCTGTTATTATATAATCATATTCGCTCTTAGTTCTTCCGTCTGGACTAGCCTACGTCCATTTTCTATTCCGTTTCTTCTTAAAAAAGGTATTCATTGCATGCAGTTTCTGTTGCAGTAGAAAGTTGGTAAGCATTTCGCCTCTTTCGTTTCTTACTCCTATTCCAAAATCTCCGATTGCCACTTTTTGTTCGCCCTTTTTCCTCTCGAGTTTCCCGTTAAAATCTCCCATTATCAGATTGTAATGAACCGGTTCCTTTTTTTTTGCTCTTTCGATTTCCTCATAGAAGGCTTCGACAATTTCATCTTCTTAATCGCTGGTGGAAGCGTACATCTGGATTATTTTCAGATTGTATCTCTTATTAGTCTTCGATTTATATACATAACTCTTGGGGAAATGCAGTCAATGCTCTGTATATTTTTCTGTAATTTTTTGTGTACTAATAAACCTATTCCTCCAGTTGTCGATTCCGTTTCCCCTTTATAGTGGAATATGTTTCGTGATTTTAGTTTGACCTGATCTTCACCTCTTCTTTTGACTTCGCTAATTCCTATAATATCCCATTTCACATGTTTGAGTTCTTCCTCCAGTTCTGTCATTTTTTCATCCTTAGATAAAGTTCTTACATTATACGTAATTAAGTGCAACGTTCGTCGTTCTTGGTAGCCTCTTACATCCCGGGGATTCTTCGCACCCTCTACCCGCTGTCCATGAGTGCTACCGCTACCTTGGTCGGGAACTAGCGAGCTGCCGGGGACTGAGGGCCGTTTTCTTGAATGTCTGTTTGCTGAGGGGGTTTTGGCATTTAAACACCACGCTTGCCAGGCGGGTTGGTGAGTTGGTTTGGGAAATTGGTAGGATAGTAGGTATTGGATAGGATGTAGTTGATACAACAACGAGCTTTATAAATTTTATAACGATGCACCACTGTCAGACTTCATTAGAATACAAAGATTGCGATGGGCCAGACATGTGATAAGAATGGGAGAAGATAGGCTACCAAAAAGAGCATGCCCAGGATGTAATGTCAGTCAAAGGTCAATGGAGCGATGCGTGCTAAAGAGAGAGAGAGAAATTTATTGTTTTTAAATGAGTTTACATTTATATAACACAACATGGTACAGTACAAACAAGGAACAAGAGTAACAATTAACAAACACAAGGCACATTAAAATAGTAATTATAAAATTTCCATAATTAAAAAAAAAAAAGAAAAAAATATATCAATTACCACAACTGTCCTCAAAAAATTCTTTTATACTGTAGTAACATTTAGATAATAAAAACTTCTTGATTGCTCTTCGGACTACAAAAATATTGCTTGAGGATCTTAGATCGAGTAATAGGTAATTAAATACTTTCTTATCAGTGTAAATAAATGATTTTTTAATTAATGTAGAAGTGGAATAACATAATTACACGAGTGTTATGAGGGGAATCTGTCCGAGTATCCTTTTTAAGTTTTTTTTTAAAACTAAGCACGTTAATTCAATTATATACATGTAAGGAAGTATCAAGATACCATGTTTTCGGAACAGAGGCCTGCATGATGTACCAAACTTGACCTTGCATAAATATCGGAGTGCTCTTTTTTGTAGCATAAAATTTCTAGTGAAATGATGAAGAAAACAGCTACCGCAAAAGGCAATACAGTATCTTAAATTAGATTCAATCAGGGCCACATAAACACTTTTTGCAATCTTGAAATCTAAATAGCGAGCAACTGATTTGACCGCAAAGCAACCCGATGATATCTTTTTGCTTAAACATACAGTGTGTTGTTCAAATTTAAATTTATTATCCGTAGTAATATCCCTAGGACATTGGTAACAGACGAGATAATTTCATGACAATCGAAAGCTCGTTCCTTGGTAACAGCACGAAGTCGAAGGCCTCAGCCTCAGCCTTCGGCTTCATGCTGTTACCAAGCAACGAGCTTAAGAAATTTGTCATGAAATTATGAAGCATTCATTAATGTCCGAGGGATATTCGGCGGATAATTTTTCGAAAAAAAAAATCATAACTCAACATAACGAAACATTTATTTATTAAAAGTACAGTTCGTGACAGTACAATTATTAAAATTTAAGTTAGTCACAAATATATTTGTGACTGTAGGTTGTATTTCTGACGAAATGACGAAATTTGAATGGTTATTAGAACAGTCGAAAAATTATCAATCTAAAAATTTGTTTACGCTGTCAAAACAAATTCCTTCACTGCCCAGAGTAATGTTGTTTAGATCATTCTTAACAGAAATTAATTTGGTTTTAGAAAAATTAAATGTCAAATGATTAGCTTTGCACCACTCCTAAGATTTTTAGCATATCACTACTAATAATCTTGTTCAGTACCTAAGAGTCTTTGTTTTACCATAAAATTATGGTGTCATCTGCAAATATAGTAAACCGGCCATTAATGTCTAGGCTCGATATGTTATCAAAATATATCAAGAAAAAGATACGACCCAAGACAGAGCCTTGAGGTACTCCACAATTAATAAAGATATTATTAGAGTAGCGCTCATTGATTGATGCAGACTGGCATCTGTCTTCTAAGTATAAACTAAACCACTTTAGAGCAATGCCTCTAAAACCATATCTTTCCAGTTTATTAAGAAGTATTTTGTGATTGACACAATCAAAGGCTTTAGATAAATCACTGAAAATTGTGGCAGCAACATAATCGTTATTTAAGTCCAAGTATAGTTTATTTCCATGAATTCGAAGATGGCATCATAATGTAGGTACTTTTTAATGACTAGAAACCGAATTGGAAGGAAGAAAGTAAATTATGTTTTTGTAAGAAAGTCATCATTCGGATTTTTACCAATTTTTCTACCCTTTCTAGGTATAACAAAGAGAGATTGACGAAGAATCGAATGGATCAGGCAGAAAAACCAAGGTCATTCACAATATCATAGTTAAATAATTAAATAAAATAAAAATTTAAACATCGGATTTTATACAAACAAACATTTAAAATCCTTTATAGCAAATGTTCAATGTGACCTCCTTTATTTGTTTATTTCAATCAAACTCTTGCAAAACGGTTTTGCTATTTCGTCATTAATTATTTATTTCTATTGTTCAATACTCACATCCAGTATTAAACTAACTAGTTTATCAGTACTCGTAATCTATTTGATTTAATAAGCCAATGTCATCGGCTAGTTTTTGATAAAAAATGTATTATTGTATTCATTGTGTTTGAAAGTATACATGCTACAATTATATTATTATCAATCATAATAAGTAATTACGAAAACCATATCGAACAAATACTAATTTGAATACTTCCTTTGTAGATTACATGTATGTATTTTACAATGTACTTTTAATTTAAATTTTATGGTAGGTACATA